GATATGAACCAGAGATGTAAAACATTGAATTTTGACTTAATAGTTTTAAATACTATTTTTATAATATAAGTGGGAGCTGTGATACTTTAGCCGTGTATTAATTTCAAACAGTGGTTTGAGCAAAAATATATTTACCAAACCAGTGAACATTTAATTTTATGTTTATTATTCAGCTTAATTTCTTATTTTTGTTAATGTAGTTTTCGACGCCTGATTCTAAACGACTTAACGCACTTGTCTTCTAGACCGATATGTACTACTATTGCCTATAGCAATAGCCGTTTAGTTGGTTGACAAACGAACTTCGGTCCACAAAATCGGTAATTTAATTTTTTTAATGCTGTTAAATGTACGTCAATTACTTTAAAAACAACCGAAAATTAACTAAAAAATTTTAAACATGTTAAACATCTTCAATTTTTGAAAAAAAAAAAGAAAAGCGTGAGCCCTATTTAAAAAAGTCCATAATACATTTATTAGATAAAACTAAAACTTCAGATATTTTTAATTGAAAAAAAAATTAAGTATCGATTCAACCTGATTATAAGACTTCCAAATTGATAACTATTTTTTAATATTCAAATATATACTATTTGCAATTTTTGTTTATTTTCTTTAAAAAAACTTTTTTTATAGATCTTTTTTTCTAAGCTTCGGTAACTTAGGCCGTCTTAGCTAACGTCTTTACCGATTTGCATGTGATTTTTTTCAATTTTTCAAAATTATAGGTTTTTTTTTTGTTGAAAAATTCAAGGTTTAAAATGTTATAAACGTTGAAACGTATATAAAAATCAGACAATCTACAGGTATCTACGAAAAAAGTGATTTTATAAAAAAAATGTGTTGTTTATAGGTTGCCTAATACCTAATACAAATGTGGAAACTATAATTTTTTCTAATAATTTTGCGTTCCATTGTGTAGTTACGATAACATGAGTTCACTTTTTGGTCAAGTGCGAACTTGTTCAAATTTCGTAACAAGCCTTTGTCGAAACTATCCACGACCAAGTTCAGTTCGTAGTAATGTTAAAATACACTTTGAAATCTGAGGGAATCTTGGTAGGAATACTCGTTTGGTGTATTATTTTACTATTTTAGTAAAAAATAAAAACACTCTAAGACCCGTTGTTTCGTTCGATGCGACTAAAGAACGGTAAAGAATTATTATTGATATTTTTTTATCGATAAAATACCTTTCACGCATGATTTTTTTGTCTATAGACATGCTACACGAAGAAACTGGTGGTATGGTTTAGGTGATATCGTGGTTTGGACATTAAAAAAAAAAATAATAATAAATATAAATAGTCTTTAAACCAGTGTCAAGTTAAATATTTTCATAAAACTATTTGCAAATTACAATAAATCTCAACAAAATTACAACTTTAGTGACGCTCAAGCGGTACCATTATTTTATGATTTCAGAATAGCATGCAACAATAATTAATTATTTTAAATATCTACGTTTACTGCCCGCACAGATTCAAACACAAATTTAGGCGACCTTTGTATATAAGTTAGATCAATTTAATTTAATTTAGAGAAGAATCCATTGAGATTCCATAGTAATATTTTATTATGCATCATTTTCTTCTTCTTCATCGGCTTCACGGTCCTTTCGCCGTCCAGTGCTGCCATCAAAATCTCTCTCCATTTATCTCTCTGATTCACTGTCTGTAAGGTTGCGTTCTGGTCTATGAAATACATCTGTTGGGGCATTAAGTGGGCTGCCGCTCCCCACACCACCGCCTATGCTCGCCACTCCGACCGTTTTGATACCATCATTATCTCTTCTACTACTGCTATCGCATCACCGTACCCACTACACCGTTTTGTTTTTGAACCGCTTCGTTCAATAATAATATATATTAATTGTTGAGCTATCTACCTATTAGCTGTAACCATTAGCGAGCTGGCCAGCGAGTAGGAAATGTTGTATAGTTATTTTGCTAATAGTAGTTTTTTCCAAAATTTAATTGTGTGTTGTTTGTTCCACTAAAACCGGAAACCGGAGACCAAACGGGACGAAGAGTGCCGGAAATACAGCAAGACACTATTGATAACGGAAACGGCCGTAATAATAATAATAATCAGAGTGAATCAGAGGTACACGAAGGTCAACATCTGGGTCAGTGTTTATGTTAGGATCCGGGGTCATTGCATGGAATTCACGCCGTCAACAGTGTGTTAGCCTTAACACAACTGAATCAGAGTGCATAACTTTAGGTAGTGCAGTACAATAATAAACTTGGTTAAAATTACTTTTAGGGGAATTACTCAGTCAGCCAGAAATGAAACCAACGGAGACAATGTTTGGAGACAATCAAAGCGCTACCAGACTTGTGAAAAATCCCGAATTCCACAAAAGAACCAAACATATTCGTGAATAGTTCAACGAGGGATTATTTCCGTTGGGGTTCATATGCAGCAAAGAGCAAGTTGCCGACATCATGACTAAGCCAACTCCACGAACTCGTTTTCAAGAACTCACACAGATGTTAGGCGTTGTAAATAAGGATGTATTGTTTAAGAGGAAGTATTGGAATTATAAACCAAACACCATGTTATACTATGTAGTTAGTAGGTCGATATAATTCTTGGTAAGCATATTTTGTACTTTCCCATGTGAAATAAAATAACAATATATATTGTATTTGCTACGTACACCACACAAAAATAAAAACAATATTGCGAACGGTGAATGTTATGATAATATTATTCGTTCAAATAAAAAACAAATTTTCATACGCAAGACTATGCGATTACATTTGTTCATGAGATGAAAAAAATCCTTCTAAAATGTGTATTATCGCCAATTAACCTGTACGTATAACCGGAAAATGTAACAATTCACCGAGTATTTGAAAATGTAGTAAAATATGTACCTAAAGTATAAGAATAACATAACGGAAAACGTTGATAGTCGTTTTTCGTTATATTTCATTTGCATAGTACATGTACTTGAGAGTTGTGGAAACTAGAAAAATGCTGCAATTTACTTATGTGAAATACAATAACAACGAAATTTTATTTTCTATACAGGGTGTTTCATTTTTTGTAAGACAATCGGTTTCTCGGAACACATTGATATTTTGAACGTATTTTTTTTTCCTATTCTTTAGCTACGTATCGTACTTTTTTTCATATTTTATACATATTTTTATTAAACCCTTATTTTTTCCAGTCTCATCCAGCTGTTCGTTCGATATGACTTTGTAAACACTTGATTTTCGTCTATATTTCTTAATATTTTCATTCGGCTCTACAAAGTCGAGTAAGTTTTGTTACATGGCAAAAAAATAATTCACTGTGTTACCGTAGTCATGTTTGGTATGACTCGGGTGTGTTGTGTTCGAAAGGTATGTTTGTACACGTCTTACCTGTATGTGTATTATTATTGCTCACGTTATTTCATACCGATGCGAATTTGAGGAAAATAAGACGCAAAAAATAATATTTCTTACCGTGTGTTGTTTACACGCTTTAAGGTTTCATTGTAATATTATACTAGCGCATTTCGTACATGGAAAATTCAGAGCATAAAATAAAACCTAACACATTGTCAATTGGAAACCTAAATTTGGCCCCCGGTTAAAGACTTCTGTACACGTTTAGAAAAAAATTATTGTCTTTTCGTTCTAATCGTTTTTTAAATATTTTTTACTTATGTTATGAAAAATATTTATTAAGAGTTATTAGCATTTTGAGAGGACAAGCTGGAGGAAAAGCTATAAAACTAACGTTAATAATATAAACTATTAATGATTTTTTTAAATTTTTATTTTTAACACTCATAATATTATAGCTACATATAAAGGTCGATAATGTTTTGGATATATTTCTTATCAAGCGCATTGGTTTATGACTAACAGGTAACAGGTTTGACCAAGCTTGCAAATCATCCTATAAAAATATGTTTAACGATTTTCAATGAATATTACAATAAAATAGTAAAATTATTCTTGACCGGATGTAGACATTTGTAAGAGTTTTAAGACCAATGGCAGCATTTAATATGGATAAAAATAAAATGCATATATAATAAAACAAAAATTATAGTTGTAACAATTTCTTTTTTTTTTGCTTTATTCAAAATAAAAATCGCAACACCTAAGCTTACAATACCGAAAGTAGTTGTTCCAAAATGGTTATTGACCAGAAGCTTTCCAACATGTTTAACAAATTCCTCTTGTTTTAACGAGTTAATTTAATACTTATGTTAGAAAAGTAAGGCTTAATAATAATTCTTTATTTTTTTTTTTGTACATTCTGCATGGCCTAGGCCAGTTAATTATAATGATTTCGAAATAAAAACATAATTTTTACGTTATTCCGTTATTTCCGTTAATCGTTTTATGAAATGACAAAAACAAATTTAACAATCATATAAATATATAATATTTAATAATTTAAAAAAAAAACGACTTAACCTAACAATTTAAACGAATATCTATACAAACCACCATATAATCTTTCTAAAAGGCTGAACTATTTAAGTTTAGAAGTTTATTATATGTCGGCAATATAATATCATATCTTTAGGGGAAACATAAGCAATCTTTATCCGACGATGCTTTGTATAATAGTCATATAAAAACACTCCTTGCCCGTCCTAACCGTCGTTTTGTAGACACTCATGCAGTCGTGTGCGCGTATACAACCTTGTAGTTTTGACTTACATAGCATTTGGTTTAAGTGTTCTGGGCTCATTGTATCTGTTCAATTATCAACTTATAAACCATGTCGTTAACTCATTAATACCCTTTTTTTGAAATCCATTTTATAAACATTGTTTGACCGAAAGCAAACACTTAACAATTACCTGTCCATTTTTCTAGTAAATAGTCAACATTTACTGTACATTTATATTGTTAAACTTATAAAGATAAAAAATTATAATATTTTTATTATATGACTATCGACAATTGTACTAATTATAGTAAAAACAAATAGTTGAATTAGAATAGATAATAAAATACAAATTTACTTATTCGGTGAATATTATTTTTATTGGTATATGTAATAGACATAATATATTTTATATGATAGGTAACAGAATATTGTGTTTAGAATACATTGTTATTAGAAAAATCTGAAGGTTGAAACATAATAATTGTGATAAAAAAAGATGAACATTTTACAATATACACGTATTAGTAATAATATTATGTATTTTCAAAATGTGACCAAGCTCTTGGATACTGCAGCTTTGTTCGTAAATTTATTTGTCGTTAGTGGCTAAAAAAAAATTTTAAATATTATGTAATAAATGGTTTATTTAAGTTAGGCTCCTTTATAAAGATAATATAAAGATAAAAATCTTAGGATTTACTATTATCCATTGTTTAAATTTCGAAATAATTGTGATTTTAAAAAATCAGACTATTATGTATAAAATAATTGTTTATAAAAAAAATTGCAAATATAATAGTTTAACATTTTCAGCTTAATTGAAAATAATTGAAAAACGGCTAGTATCTTTGTAAAGCACAAAAACTTGTATTATCATCCAACTTACAGTCATTTGAAAAACGAACGATAAAATAGCATATTGAATTACACATTTATAACCTATATAAGTTTTATTAAAGTCTCAAAACTTACCTGATTCTCCTTGTGGTGGTCGTGGTTGTGGTATATTTATTGGTGCAGTTGGTAGTGGTGGTATTTGTGCTGAAACACAGACAAAATAACTTGAATACTTGTTTTTCCAATTTAATTTTTAATTTTCAAGTATCTATAAATACTGCTATAATAATTTTTTAGTTGTTTATCTAAAGGGCTTAATTTTGCTAGCCACAAATTATAATTTTTAAACATTTTTCAACTAGACATAAAATTGTATATAATAATATGCTTATGGACATGATAAACTTTATTTTATTATAAACAATGTAATGCATTAGTAACAATTTATACATATATTGAAAATAAATTTAAAACTGTTAGTATCTTTGCAATATACAAAAACTCATATTATCATCCAACTAACAGTCATTTGAAAAATGAATAGTAAAAATGTGTATTAAATTTTTCTTTTGAAATTTATATAAGTTATAGCAGTCTCAAAAACTTACGATAACCAGGTGGTGGGTTACGAGTAGGATTAGCTGAAATAACGAAAAAAATTACTTTAACATTTCATTTATCACAATGCATTATATGGCTCAATGTTCTAGAGCTAAGTACACAGTTGTTTTAATATGTATCTTCGGCCATCAAAAAAAAAGTTATTACAAATCAGATTTTTATGTAAAATAATATCAGCTTTCTGAAGAAAAATATAAATTTTTTTTTTTTGCGTAACAGAAAGTCATTAAAATTGTGTTTATTATCTAAGAAGTTATAATTTTTGTATTGCCCGAAAATTGAGAATTATTCTAAGATTTTCATCAGAAAGTTGAGGAAATTTTACATAATTTGTACATAGTTTTAAATTGGGATCTCCGTAAAAACGCTTAGAAAACAAAATGAAATGGTATAAAAAAAGCAAAATTTCATAGATTTGTCGAAAAATCTGGTAAAAACGACCACAGTATTCGAAAAAAGTGAAATAATTTTGTTGGCCGAAGATGCTACAAAAAAAAAAAAAATTATACAAAATGATATACTAAAAATATTTTTTATACCTTCATCTGGAGGATTTTTAACCGCATACACGGACACCATTAGGCAAAATATGGTGGTTAACATATAAATTAAGCTTTTCAAATTCATTTTATTCAAGTAGTTATTATTATTAACACCAAGAACGTAGAATACTATACTAGTGCAAAAGTACCTTTGCTGCTTACATTATATAGAGAAATATGTTTGTTTTATTTTGTAGGAAATAGTACATTAAGCTACGTTTGACAAAAACAACAGTAAAGAAATGGAAAATATTGGTAGGCAAAGTTGTTTTCGACGCAGCGTTACGGTTGTACAAACCGTGTAAACCCGCAAAGAAATACTGCATATTTACTTATGTAAAGTACAATAACAACATTTTTTTATTTCTATACAGGGTATTTCATTTTAGGTAAGACACTCAGTTTCTCAGGAAGTATTGAATGTTGGTATGTTTAAATGCCATGCTGAACAGCCCCTTGAAAAATTCTTACTTCGCAAGATGACAAACTTAGTTTCTATGTAAAAGATGTGTGTGGAAATAAGAAAACCGGATTTATCTGGAAAGTTGTCTGTATTCTTAACGTTATTAGCCAGAAATTAAAAAAAGATCTTGTACTTTTTGAGCGTCAGTCGCACCTAAAATTCAAAATTAAATAGAAACGAATAAGGGGGGAGGTAACATTTGATTGAGACTAAAAATCTTTAAAAAAAAAAACAGTTAAAAAATATATTTTAATACCTTCTATTACCACTTTACCAAGATGGCCACTCCAATACGGTTTAAAGATGTATCGATAAATTTCGAACTCCATTTTCCAACTTAAATCGGCGAATTTTATGTTGAATACAAGTCTAAAGGTAACCCATTCGTCTTAAAATTGTTGAGGTCTATTAATAGTATTAATCAGCTTTGGTTAAGACCGTTCGTAGACGGATACTGCATACTACCAGTTAAGGGAATGCCGAAGGTCAAAAAATGACAAAAAAAAAATTTCAATCTAAGTTCATGAGTAATATATCAATTTGAAATTTAAATTAATGAGCGCGTGATAAAAGTAATCAATAATCTTGAATTTGGATTTAGGTTTCGAGTACACAAAACAATTCGCGTTTGGCAACTTATAATGACAAAAATACATTAATATACGAGCTATATTATGATACAAAACAGTTATTACTATATTCAAACCCACTAATTCACTCATGACTCACTCTATGATTATTATAAAAAACAATAACAAATAAATAAATTATGGAAGTGAATGTTTGTCACAAAATAAATTGATGACGTTGACTCCGGATGGATAATTCATTTTTTCATAACTGAAATGGCTCTTTTTTTGTAAATTTAAACCAATTTTAAAAATTACTTTTTTCACTTTTATGAAAATAAGAAGCTTTACGAAAAGGCTATTGTAATGTTACAGAGGACATTTTGGCAAAAATAAAACCCTATACGAATAACTAAACAAACAATTTGGACGATAGTCTCCTGATAATTTATTTTCGGGAAGAGGAAGGCTACACAATACATAATAATGTTTCAATGTGTTTTCTTCGCAGGAAAGATGATACCCGTTTTTTTGTTTTGTACATTTAAAGTTAATTTAAAATTTTCTCCCTAGTGTTCTTATGCTATCAGAATTAATACATAGACCATGTTTAAAGAAACCGAACAAAATCCACCTTGATACCGTTAAGAGGCCTCTAAACCTGTATATTTTCTAATGGAAACAACATATTATTGTAAATTCGTACATAGGTAACTTTGATTTTTTTTTGTTTTATACAAAAACATGTAATTATTTGAACAATACGCGTGCACGATTGTTTGCTGCTTATGCATTAGAACTGAGATTGTACTAAGACTTAGAGGCCTCTGTCCCACGGAATTTTTAATCTCAAATATATTTAGATGTATTATAAGTTTCACCATATCCCATTTCATATATATTTGTAATACTTTAAATTATTTCTCAATATAAAATTTTACCGGCACAAAAACTGTATACATTTTTAGCTTCTATGCGGAGCAGCGACGCTATTGGTTTTACTATGATGTGGGTTTTATCTGATTGACTACTCTGGGGGGGGGAGAGGTAAAAGTTGAAAAAGTTTACTTCTTCACAGTTAAAATTTGAAAAAAAAACCATTAGAATTATAATGTTTGGACTTTTACAAGCTATAATTTCGAGAAAAAGAGTCGGATCCAGTTCAAATTACAGAGAATATTTATTTGGTATGCCCCCCCCTCCCACGCCAATAGTCTCAAATTTAAATTATACCAAATTGCCATCCCCCTGAGGGCGAGGGATGCCAGTTTTTTTGTTTTTTTAGAGGGGAGGGGGTTAGCAGTAATTTTAAGACATTTAAGTTGAAAATTTGTCACGAGTTAAAATAACATATTAAACGAAGAAAAAATTCGGTGCTACAGTCCTACTTATCTCTCTCTTTTTTTTTTAATTTGATGCGCGATCCGCTAAACGGGTCCCCGTCTTGATGGTTTATTTCACATATTATTTTATATCGTCTTGAAAAATGCTTCTTTTTATTCTGGTTGTAACTTGTGAAAATATTACACTTATTAATAAGAATTATTAAGTGTAATATTAATTTTATTGTGCGCATTTTAGATTTCAGATTTTTTTTTTTTTAGCTTATTGCATCTTGACCGGGAGTAGGCCCTATTGGAGCCTTGTACAGTCGCCGAAGGTTAGGTTTTTTTATTGTCTAAGGGCTTCGCCTTGTCGCTTCAACCAATCTTCTCTGTTATCTGCTAGGCTTTACAAATAACTCAATATTGATTTTATTAAGTCACAGTTGATAGAATGTCGATTTGACCAGAAACTTTTTTTTGCAAAAAAACTAAAATAATTTTGTATATTGATGATCGGTTTTTTTTTAAAAGTGTTATTATTTAATAAGGTTATGAGTGCTAGCCGAGGTTTTGTTCAGCTTGGAAAGTGACTTGCTATTTAGTATTTACTAGCTTCAGTATTGCTGATTCAATTAAATTTATATATACTTATATTTTATTTATTTATTTATTTTTATTTATCCCTAATGCATCTTATGACAGAACAAAGTGGATGTTGGAGTCATCTGTCATGTTTTTTGACTTGTAAGCAAGTTATATGTGTGGGTTAGGGAAGTAACTCAAAACTGTATGTCTAAACGTACACAGTACAGGTAAAACATATGATAATATTGGTGATGCATTTTATAATCATGGAAATAAAAGTAAACAAAGTTTATTATTATTATGCATGACATTACAGTTTGCCTATTGTTTATTGTTGAATGTAAAATTGAATTCACCATGTATTAATTTTAAAATTTCAAAAAAATATGTGTACTCTGAAGAATTTTATATTATGTTGTGGTAATAGTAAATATTCTAACGTTTTTTTTGAGCTTTGGTGAGAAATTAATACACAAGTTAATGAGTCGATACAAATTTAATACACTTAAAATACAAATAGTTTAACCTGATAATAAAATATATTGAATTTTATGTGTATTGGGTAGTCATAATTTAAAACGTTGCCACGTTTGTTCGTCATAGACGGCCAATAAGTTACTTAGCAACGGTAAATTAAAAATCACCTGGTGATAAATAAACAATAATCATTAATTTTATATTCCGCCATATAAAACATTTTTTTTCGTAACAAAGTTCAATGATTTCTTCGGAAATGTCTTTTAATATTTTTTTTATCGATAAAATCAAATTATGTAATGCGTTATTCAGTCGATTTTGAGATACAACATTAATTTTATCTTTTGTATCATAAATACATAATATTATGTTCAAGGTGTTCTATATTTTCAATAAAATAATAAATTAAGTAAAAATATAATTATATAGCATAACCTATATCAAAACTGTAACAACGAAAATAATCATTTTTTTCAGGAATGTCGAAAAACGTATTGTTTATTATCATTTATGTGATAGAAACAAAACGTGTCAGCAGCGCCATCGTTTGGAGAGTACACAGGATGTATAGTAGTAATAAAACTATAGACAGGTATTTAAGTTGTTTTTTCAAATAGATTAAGCTTTCAACCATAATGGTGATGACTAAACATTATATCACCTATTTAGTTAAGGGCGGAAACCGCAGTTTTTCAGAATTTTTTTGAAGAAATTGTAAGCTATATTAAAATTAAATAAATTACATAGTAAAATTGTCGATTTAGAGCGTTTAATAAAAACTGTGCTGCTTTTATTATTTTTTAATTGGAGCTATGCGATCTGTATCGACTATAATGTCGTCAGTTCCGAAACAACAAACTGAATGTGTTAATATTTCCTAAACATCATATGGCGGTTTTTAATTTTTAATTTGCATATTTATATTGATTTCAAATAAACACATCATTTTGATGGTATTACACTACTTATTTAATCGTTTTATGAAATGACAAAAAAAAAAACATTATTATTTATTATTACGGCTTAATACCGTTGTACATCTGATAGCATTAAATTCAAATATATGTGTAAAATTATACAACTATGTAAACAATTATTAAACATAAAATATAAAACCGATTACCCGTAATTATAGCACTCCCCAAAAATATTCTTATGTAAATATAATATAGTAATAATTCAGCAAAAACCCTTAATCTTAGAATTTACATAATATCAATACAAACCACTATCAAAATTATTTTAAAAATTATTCCTCATATAATGATTGTTAAACTTTTCATCGTAATCATTCAACTTCACTTTCTCTTTAAACAGCGCCATGATGAACTCCAATATGTCCATGTGTTCGTCTTCTAAAAATTACAAGATTTTTAATTAAGAATTTTATTTAATTATGTCTATAGATCTACTTCGATATATTAACACTATAATATCAAATTTATTATGGAAACTATTCCGACAGTACTCAGATGATAATGGCGGTTTCTCGAGATTTATTTTGTTAATTCTAACTGTAAAAAAATCTTCTCAAGGAAAACAGCATTGATCCTACTCTTTTCTCGTCCTCACTATGTAAGATATTTAAAATAATTTAACTATTTTTGGTAATACAATAGTTTGCTATTTACCATTGGTATCGTATTTCTTCATGAAAGAGTCAATGTTCTCTTTTTTGTTCGGGGTAAACACGTCGGTCATTTTTTTTAACTTCTCCCTTAGTGAGTAGACCATCTTTGTCGTCATCCAGCTTAGTGAAATCCGATAAGACATATTTAACCGAAGAGGTAGAATATACGGTTCCAACCTAAAGAATCAACAAAAGAATTCATATAGTACCTCTCGAGGTTATGTAGTCCGCAGGAGAACGCTCCCACTAGTTATTTGCAGTGTGATAATATGGGTTGCGCGAATAGAATATACTCTAAGGGCTGTAATAGAATTGAGTAAACCGAATTTCCATAGAAAAATTGAAGATCAATTTCTTAACCTACGCTCCTTTAATAAATGGTGGGGGCGTCCTTATATACCTAAGCATAAACAACGCAATCCTAATACAATTATTAATATTACTTTTTCCTCGAGGCTGTATTCTGCTGTAACAACCAACAGCTCTTGCATCTCCAAATGCGGATTTCCTACAATCAAAATATTGAATAAATTGTTTGTTGTATAAAAAAATATATTCATAGAATTATAGTTGGGACACAGTTTTTAGTAAACAGTAAAAAAATGAAAAACATCTCAATTGAGTTACAATTATTTCATATATAATAAATAAATGATTACGAATGAAAACATCATTTAAAACTGTATAAAAAAAGACATAATTTGTTTATCTATTATTTTTACATATTATTAATTCATACTATCTCAATTAATTTAAAAAATCGCATTTTACGAATAATGTTGATAACAAGTAATCTAACAACTAGTATTGATTAATTGTATTATAAAAATTCAAATAACAAAAATATAGTGAAATAAAAGATAATTATTTACTTATGCTTCATATAGAAAAAACTTATTTCGCCAACACTGTACAGAATGATAATAATAAAAAACGAAATAATATCAAAAATGTATTCTTACTCTTGGAACCAAAAGCCAATTGGCCTTCGTAGTCTTTTTTTAACTATAGATATCTTTTTGAAAAGTTCCATTATTCCGACAGGGTTAATGTGACCATCAATTGTCTTATCATTATGTAACGTCATCAGGTCCTCAACCTGCTTCCGGTTTACACCTGTGCCCTAAGTGCAAGTATAAAAAATCATATAAATATTAAATATAGTAATGGTATTTGACTTTTTTTTAAAGCAAAAATGCGCTAAAATGTACAATTTTACTTTGACATGTTTAATATAATGTAAATTATGAATATTAAAATAATGTGTTTTTTATCAAGCCTTTAACGACACCATAAATCCTTACTCGGTTCGGTTTTACTGCCCATATGCGGTCTAAGAACTCCAATGCGTTAATTTGTTTAGCTTAAAAATAAAATAAAATTATTAACTCTGGCAACATAATAAATCGCATAATGAACTCAATACTTTTTTCTTTCAATACAATTAGTATGCATTGTTCAGCTGGACGATAACTGATACTATTATTCCATACGGCTAGATCTAAAGCGACAATGACTTTTTTCACATCATCGAGGTCAAGTAGACCTTTGTGATCACCCTTTAGGTCGTATTCTCTGAATATACCCACGTGAAGTCTTACTTCGAAGGACGACATACTTATTTTCTATGTAAAAGACGTGTATAGAAATAAGAAAATCAGATTAGTTTGAAAATTTTCTACTTTTTTTCGCGTTATTACCTTAATGTTGTCAGTGTTTTTATCGTTGTTGGCAAGATATACCACAAGATCTTGTAATTTTCGAGCGTTAGATTCACCTATAATTAAAATTTAAAAAATATAAACAATTTCCAATAAACCTAGCTAAGACGAGTGAGTTAAGTGGAAAATTTGTTAAATACTGAAAAACAGAAAAATATTTTCTTACAGACAATTTTTTTTTTAAGTAACTTTTGATTAATAACACGTTTAATAAAATATACTTCATCACCTTCTTTGTAGTCAAAATCTGACATATTAGCTATGCCAAAACTTTCTCCAATCTCTTCGATATCATCCTTGGAAATGTTGTGCATACCGTTGTTGTATTTATTGTATAAATCACCTATCTCTGTGAGTTGATCCCCGTTGAGTCCAATGCTCTATGAAATATCACAAGTACAAATATAATAATTCATACAACTAACTATCGACATTTTATTTAATGCGGTTTTACCTGTGTCGCGGCCACGTAGTACAACGCGCAAAGAATAACCGCATTTTTAAAATGCATAATATTTTTTTTTTTCAAATACTTTATTGAACCAGTGGTAAGTTTTCGATACTAAAGTCGGATGAACAGTAAAATTCGATTCGCCTCAAGAAGTCTACATTAAGGTACGTTTGACAAACAACAGTATAGAAATGAAAAAACCAGTACAGTGGGGTCGGGGCATAGTGGGGACGGGGAGGTCACAGGTTTACAGGAATTTTTAAATCTGAAAGTGATAAAATCACTTTCGAAAGAACGCTTCGATGCAAATCGGTAGTTAGTATTTTCAAGGCAGTACAATCCAAACCAAGCACAGTGTAAGCTAGCAAAGTTAAAAGTATTAAATTGAATCGGCCATTTCAAAAACGATTTACGTCACCGATTTTTCAAAACTGTCTTTTTATCAAATGTAATATTTTTATACTTAGTTACGTATTCTGTGTGAAAACTCAATTTGTCAGACTCATATTTAATACAAATGTTGAGTACAAGAAATTTGAATCACTGCAAAATATATTTATGAAGTTTCTTGTGGCTAGTGTAATATTTCAAATTTGTGACTTGTGTCGTTTTTGAAATGACCGATAAAATTACAAATAGAAGCATCAAAGCGTTTATTTGAAAGTGATTTTATCCAAGAGGCCTAGTACAGTAGAATCTATATTCTAATATATTTTCCATTATGCCTATGCATAATGAAATCAAAGCAACGAGGCGACGGAGTGGTCACAGGTCTACAGAAATTATTACAAATAAAAGTGATAAAATGAAATAAAATCACTTTCAAATAAACGCTTTGATGCTTCTATTTTGTAATTTTATCGGTCATTTCAAAAACGACACAAGTCACAAATTTGAAATATTACACTAGCCACAAGAAACTTCATAAATATATTTTGCAGTGATTCAAATTTCTTGTACTGGCTATAGGCCAGTAAAGTTCTAACTTAAAAACTCGTACGGTTTTTTTTTTGTTTTTTCAACTTTCGTCTGTGAAAATTAAACTTTTCAACTTCAAAATATTGGTAGATAGTTGTTCGTTTTATTTTATTTTTCACATTATATACTTAGAGTTGTTTTCGACGCAGCGTTACGGTTGTACAAACCGTGTAAACCCGCAAAAAAATACTGCAAATTTACTTATGTGAATTACAATAACAACTTATTGTTTTTATTTCTATACAGGGTATTTCATTTTAGGTAAGACACTCAGTTTCTCGGAAATATTGAATTTTGGTATATTGGGATGTTTAAATGCAATGTTGAACAGTAGGATGTAGTGAAAAAAGGCAATTTTTGAAATCGTTTTCGCAATACCTTAAAAAACTAGCGTCTTGGTGTTCTAAAGTAAAAAAAAATTTTTTTTTAATATTTCCCCCACCCCAAGACAAAAAACCAATATTTAACAAAACTATTTAGATTTTTTAACATAACTCAAAAAGTTTCAATACTAAAAAAAATTAAAACTATTATTTTGTAGAGAACTATATTCTGCATATCATACGTGAACAATTATATTTTTTTTATTTTTTTTTAATCGCCAAAAATAAAATTTAAAACATGCAAAAACAATTTTTTTTAACTTTTTAAAGTGAATAATAAAGTTTCTTTGAAATTATAGGTTTTCTACGCTCTAGACTAGTTTATTTCACACCAAAATCAGATTTGAAAAAAATATATACATGTAAAAACAACCATAAACAAAAAAGCCGGATGATGAAAAATTGTAAATAATGATTTCTCAGAATCACGAAATAGTAGTTTATAATAATATAACTACTTGTTTTTTGGACGACTGATTTATCGATTGATTGTCAGGGAAGGACTCAATGGGTTTGCATACATATCACAGGAATATATGTTTAGCCAGTATTTTCGGTATATTAACTTTCACTATGAACAAGATGTGTGCAAAAACTCGATTGAGTTTTAATCGAATTCCCAATAGTCTACAACAACTAACTAGAAATGTATTTGATATGCTTTGATATATGTATTTTTTTTTCAAATCTGACTTTGGTGTGAAATAAACTAGTCTAAAACGTAAAAAACTATTTTTTCAAAAAACTTTATTATTCACTTTAAAAAATTAATCAAAGTTAAAAAATTGTAATTGCATGTTTTTTAATTTTATTTTTGGCGATTAAAAAAAAAATAAAAAAAATAAAAACTGTTCACGTATGAAATGCAGAATATAGTTCCTCTACAAAATAATAGTTTTTAATTTTTTTAAGTATTGAAACTTTTTGAGTTATGTTAGAAAGTCTAAATAGTTTTGCTGAATATTGGTTTTTTGACTTGGGGCGGGGGAAATATGTTTTAAAACATTTTTTTTTTTTTACTTTAGGTATATATTCACCAAGACGCTAGTTTTGTAAGGTATTGCGAAAACGATTTCGAAAATTGCCTTTTTTCACTACACCCTACTGAAGAACAACCCTACAAAAATGCTTACTTCGCAGGATGATAACTTAGTTTCTATGTAAAAGACGTGTGTGGAGTTAAAAAAATCAAATTTTAAATATTTAAATATTTTTACCTGTGTCGCGGTCACGAAGTACAGCACGTAAAGGGTAACAGCAATTTTGAAATACATAATGATTTTTTTTTCAAACACTTTATGAACCGGAGGGAAGTCTTCGGTACTAAAGTCGGATGAACAGTGAAATTCGATTCGCTTCAGGGTGTCTACATTAAGGTGCGTTTGACAAAAACAACATCACTATAGGAATGCAAAATATTGGTAGATAGTCGTTTTTCGATACATTTTATTTACAGATATATCTTAGAGTTATTTAGTACTTGTTACGTCCGACAGTACGATTGTAAAAACAACGAAAAACAGGCAAATACTGCATATTTACTTATGTGAAAAACACTCAGATTCTCGGGAAATATTTATCATACTTTTAACGCAATTTTCCCAACGATTTTTTAAAATATTTATTTAATCATTTTATGAAATAACAAAAACAAATTGAACAATCATATCTAGTTTTAATTATCAATATGGATTAATATCGTCTGTATTCATTAAATTAAAATATATGTGTGAAATTGTACAGCTTTGAAAAATATCATAAAATATCAAATTTAAAACTGATTACCCATTGATTACCCATAATTATAGCATAAAAATGTCTTATTTAAATCGTTTATTCTAACAATGTAGATAATATCAATACAAACCACTGTCGAAAATTATTTAAAAAAAATAATACAAATATTTAGGGGGTTTTTTTTATTCATGTGTTTTCATCGAAACATGACAAATCTATACTCCGCAATGACCAAATTTTTATCTTCTACTTCAACATTTCAACCACTATCACATCATACTAAAATATGTGGAAACATTAACAATCTTTTTCGTCGATACTTTGCATGATTATAAAAGCACTACTTGCCCGTCTCGTCGAAATCGTGAAAATAGTCTACATAGAAAAATATTTTTACCCGCACACCTAAAATATTAAGTCGAACGATCATAGAAAACCACTAAGGAGCTATCTAAATAATAATCGCATATCTTCTAAACTAGTGGACAAATTTCCTACACGAATCCAGATGAAGATGTAATGTTTTTTTTTATAACAAGATAGAATATATTTTTTATTTAATAATCTTTAGTCTTCCAAGGTAAAATTTAATATCTACATAAAACATGTAGATGAAAATGGCGCATTCTCGAGGTTTATTTTATTAATTCTAACTGTAAAATTATCTACTAACATAAAACCGCATTGGTCCTACTCTATGCTCGTCTACAATATGATTGTTATTTTTAAAAAATGAAGCAGATTTCGTTAACACTATAATTTGAAATATTACTATTGGTATCACATGCTATCATGAAAGGTTCAACGATTTCTTCTTTACTCAAGGTAGACACATAACGGTACGCAATTCCTATAACATCATCGTTACTGAGTAGACCATCTTTATCTTGGTTAGAGAAATCCTATAAAACGTATCTAACTGAAGAGGTAGAATACAGGTGACCCAACTAGCGCGAGACTCTTATTTCTTGGAAAATATTTATATTTTGAAAAAAAAAAGTTCCTTATCATTATGGTTCATAGTTTACTTTATTTTTCAGTATTTAGAATATTTTTACCTTCAACCCTTAAATGTGAAACAATTATCGCATTTAGTTTTAGCTTCGATGCAGAGCGTCGAAGCTAAATGTGGGCTTTATTTTTATCCGTATACACTGTAACTTTTTTCAATACTGAACCAATTCCTTTGAGTAGCAACTCTATAACTCTCTAACTTGACTTAAAGTTTACACAAATTTAATTTTAACTTTAGTTTTTTGGTTGAGTGAAATTGAAAACTGATATTAAATTCGTAATCACCGACCTCAAAAACATATAATTTGACCAATTTTGAAGCCTTTTACATAAAAATCCAGAAAATGTTTTAGCTTCGATGCAGAGCGGCGAAGGTGTTGGTTTTACTCTGATAAGGGCTTTTTTTTATCTGTATACAGTATACACTGTAACTTTTAACACTGGACCAACTACAAACATGGTGTACCAGATGTGAGAAACGAACAGACGCTAATAACTGTCGGCTGGTACATCGACCCGTGTTAGGTTAGGTTAGAGCCCAACGGTCGGTATCATAATATTGTGTTTACTACTAGTAAGGAGGTTGTAAACGAGTTGATTCGGATGACCATTGGTTTAGAGTGGAACCTTGCATAGCCATAATCTGGCAGTTTAGTGAACTGTTTTGGCGTTTAAGTATGAACAATTACTTCGGTTAACGCAAACGCGACTACGGCTCTTTTAAATTATATTATAATCTTCAAGGTCCAATCAAATTCTATTTTACTAAAAAACAACAAATATATTAACATAAATGTCTAAATTTATTATTCATACATGTTGCTGTAAGATATTGCAAAATCACCCCCCCCCCCCCCCCCCGAAATTCCTCTTACCGATGGGGGAAAAAATCACAATGACCTTGAAATAACATTGTAATACAAAAAAAAACACCAAAAACTGTTCACGTAAATTGTTTTTTTTTATTATTCTAGAAAATCGTCAATAAGTCGGGTTGGCCATTAATTTCTTAAGCCCTTGAATTTGTCGATTCGTTTATTTCAATTTATGTAAACAGTGGAAATGGGAACGCACATCGAACAACCCGAGTGTTTTTTTTTCTATAGTAAAAAAATTGTGTTTTCGAGTTAATGCTTAGGCGAGAATTCGATAAATTCCACAGAAAATCGTACATATAAATCTTTATTTACTTTTGCGCTCGGTGTAACTTTTGAAACACATGGGCCAATGTGCGAAATTATACAAAATCCTCATTCTTTAACAATTATTAAAATAATTTATGCACCTATGCAATGGTCATATTATTAATGACTTATTGGTTTGTATTGGTCTTAAACGAAACCCCTAATTTGTTGAAAATTGTCCACCATCTTTTATGGTCTCTTCCGTTTTAAATATTTTCAAATTGAGCGGAACACGAATCAGCAATGAGTATTTTTAAAATTGATAAAAAAAATGTATTGAACTCAAACCGAATGTTTTCGTCGTGGTTTAAAGATGGAATGAGTACGCTTTAGAATAATTGCAATTTTGTAGTATTTGTTTTTTGAAAACATTTTTGGTTATCAGATTTTACAGTATTATAAAAATACTAAACATTAACCTTTTTTTTTATTATTTTCCATAAGCCTATCAACTTTTAAAAACTCAAATAGTAGTTTGTGTACATATTTAATTTACAATTTAACTGAGAATTATTTGCTGAATAGCATACCGGTCGAAAACCAGTTTTGGCTAATTACTTTGGGAGTTATTAAACATTAAAATTTAGGACGGGAGGAAGGGTGGAGTGAAATATTATTTTTTCTGCTGACACTACGCTCCTGTAAAAATACTGAGCTGTGAAAAAAAAAAAAATGGAAAAGTTAAATGTTTAGTAATAGTTTTATAATATTGTAAAATAACACCAACTTAAGTGTCTCCAATTATTATAAAAGCTACAAAAATGCTGTTATTTTAAGAGAAAACTAAACTCCTGTCCTTAATGAATTAATCACATTTCTAGTGTATTTTGATTTATCGAAAATAGTAGAATAACATGTTTTTGTAATATACTCGAAGGTACACGTGTATTGATATTGAGTGTTTGCTTTACAACGATTTATCATTTTGTTTTTCTTATCGATGTGCAAAATTTAGTCGTAAGAAACGAATATAGCAAAATAACAACCGGAAAGGCTTCCTAAGGGTCTAAAAAGTTCTTTTAGTTTCTGGTGTGCAAATTGTAAAATTCATTATCTACATTTCTTTTTTTTTATGTAATGGTATATCATATCAAAATTGTCTTTATCATAATTTAATAGGTAGATGAAAAAAAAGGTTAAGGGAACAAATGCCCTCATGTCCGGCCAGACGTGAATTAACGTTTAACCCAACCAACGTTTCTGTAATAAATTTCTTGGTTTAAAAAATTATAATACTGCTACAGTTTTTTTATACTTAAGCATAATAAATCAAGACTGTCTCATTTCGATTTGAGGCGTTTTAACTTTCAACTTGATAATAATTCTTAACCAGATGACACTGGTGAAATAATAACAAACTGCTAAATTTTGTCTTGTAGCAATATATTAATAATCTCAAAAGAAAAACAAAATTGCCACATTTCTCTTATACGGCTTATAAAATATTTAAAATGGTAAACTGGCACAACAAACAAATTTGGCAGTTTGGTTTGTTAAAACCTATTGCTAAATAGCCGTAACATCAAATTGTGGTTTTCTGGCTGAGAAGTAACTAAGTAGCTTGAAATTAAAATAACAAGCAACGGGTAACAAATAAATAATTGAAAAGTATTAAAATTAAAGCTTTTAAAGTTAAAATTAACCATTTGGGAGCAGGTTCAATCTTTCAGTTGTATTTCCTCAGAAGTTGAGTTGTGACATTTTTGCTCCAAGGGTGCGACATGATTCCTACTAATTATATGCAATAGTTTAAGGTTAATTTTAAGTGCATTGTCTTAACAGTGCTTTTATCAATACCTAAATATATTTTTAATATATTATAAAATGTACTATCGGCGGTAATATCACATTAACAATTTTATGCATTTTTCCCCAAAGTGATTTATCAACCAGGAATTGTTTTTGTGATTAGTTTGCACTGTGAATAGTTTTAAATTCTTCCGTTTTCTTTCCTCTAATCCTAATTAATTTTTATCACAATTGTTGCTATTTAAGTACATTTTTTAAACACCATGGACATTTTAAAATAACAGTATTTGGTTTGTTTGATTATCAAACGGCAAAAAATAAAATTTAGGACAAAGTAATACTAATTATAGTTTTTATTATGTTTTCAACATTTTTAATTAAATTCCTCCCGTTTTTCCAGAAACTCGCAGAAAATAATTACAGTGATAAATATCCAGTTATTTTCTGATAAATATGAATATAATTTTTAGACAGGTTCAAAAAATTGTTTTTTTTTGCCTGCACAAGAAAAGTGGGTACATCTCTGTGAAAACAAGTATTTTTTGGCTAGTCGCAATTGTATACTTCATTATCTATTTAAATAACACTACAAGATGGACTAT